ATGACCTTCAAAAGAGAAGCATGGATTACTTATGGTGCTCTTGTTCCTGTTGTTACTGGCGTTGTAATTGCAAGCGGGGTATGTATCTAATAATGTCATGTTCACGTCTTATTTTACTAAAATGATAGAATTAAGATAAGATTTATTTTAGTGGTTTATGATCTGGGTTTTAATCTTGCCATATATGCCATTATAGATTGCCAATCTTGACTTTTAAGAGTCAATTGAATTCGTTCTTGAATTTGAAGTTCATAAAGTATTTGCCAATTTGCCATGTTAATATAAAGAAGTCCATAACTTGATTAATCTATATATGGAGACGTTTATTATGGAAACTTTTTGAGCTAAACAATAAAAGCATCAATTTAAATACATATAAGGAAAATGTTAGCATTTATGCTTTAATGTCTTTATACATGCTTTATGCTTTATTGTCTGTGAATTCTTCCCTTTTTGGTTTTTTTCGTTGTATTCTCTATGTTTTGGTTGTCGGGTGGCCATTGATGTGTTTACATTTTTTTTTATATAATGTCTGTATACCTGTTTTATGTTTTTATTGTCAGTATCTGCTTCCCCTTTATGGGTCTTGTTGTATTTCCTATGTTTCTTTGTATTCCCTATGTATATACATGCTTTACACTTTCTTTATATATAATGTCTGTATACCTGCTTTATGTTTTATTGTCTGTATATGTTTCCCCCTTATAGGTTTTGTTGTTGTATTCCCTATGTTTTAGTCGTTGGGGTGGCCAGGGATGTGTTTACATTTTCTTTGACATCTTCATTGAACCCATATAGGCTTGTTTGTTTTTTTTTTTTTTTTTTTTTTAATAATTAATTAATTATTATTATTTATTTTTTGTAACTTCTCATTAAATCTCATTTTCATCTTTTTGTTGAAAAACATGTCAACCCAATCCTCTGAATGCAATTGGCATCTTAATCAACATAGTATATAAAAGCTTCCATCTGTAACAGCTTATACTTTATCTACATTACTGTATTAAGTAAAAAAGAAACAACAAATTAGGCATTTGCATGGAGAGTAATGTTGAGATTTTGTTTAAGTGAGGCAAAAATAACAAGTCAAATTGTTTGTTATTACAGGGTGAACCAAGTTTTCAGCTGTATGGATTTATCATGTGCATAAGTGCAACTGCTGCTAGGGCCTTCAAGTCTGTTCTTCAGGGTATCCTACTTTCTTCAGAGGGGTAAATAAATTAACTTCTACTTTCTGCTAAGGGTATATATGTAAATTTGTTCTTCACTTGGAGTATGTCAATGGAGTCAAGTATGTGAATGTACATTTAATGATTTTATTGTTGCAGGGAGAAGTTAAATTCAATGAACCTTTTGCTTTATATGTCCCCAATGGCTGTTGTGTTTTTATTGCCAACAGCACTTATAATGGAGCCAGATGTGTTAGATGCCACCATTGCTCTCGGGTTAAAGCATAGATTCATGTGGCTACTGCTTTCCGTGAATTCAACCATGGCTTATGCTGCTAACTTGACCAACTTTTTGGTCACCAAGCACACAAGTGCACTAACTCTACAGGTTGCTTGTTTCTTCTTGCTTTCTGTTTTGACTTTTGAATTCAAACTTAGTCCATATTCATGGATCGAGCTTGCGAATTTAGCCATGATTCTTTCTTTTTTATACTACAAATTAAGTTGAAGTATTGTATATGGTATGGTCAGGTATTAGGGAATGCTAAAGGTGCTGTAGCGGTTGTTATCTCAATACTCATTTTCCGTAATCCGGTTACTCCTTTAGGTATAGCTGGCTACTCCTTGACTGTTATGGGTGTGATTGCTTATGGAGAAGCCAAAAGGAGATACAAATGAAAATGATGTTTGCAATTTAGTCAGTATAGTAGAGCTTATGAGAGAATTTGATCTAGCTCCGTTTATTATTGGGAAGAGTTAGATGCCAATTATAGTGTCCCCATTCTTATATATAATTGCGTTAGATGCCAATCATGGTCTTCATTTTGTGGGGGAGTGAAGTTGATATGTGTTGTATAATTGTTACTGCTTGGAGATGATTATGCTTAGATTTTGCATGAATTAGATGATGCAAAATTCGAAATTCCAAATGGTACATACGGGTGCATCAAAATTGTTGTGTTATGGAAGCTTTGAGCTATTGCTAGGGTTGTTTGTCTAACCACCACAAAAAAATGAAACAGTTGAGAAGTACCCCTTGTAATTATAAATGCTTCATAAACCTGAAGTTGGGTTTGTTTATGTTCTTTTTGGCATTTCATCAAGCACCTTCTGGGCCACCAGCGACGATTTCATAACCATCATGTTGTTTGGGTTGTTTCACGGGCGACTTCTCAACAGGAATGCACTTCAAAACAATGGCAATTGGCATGCTCAAGAACCCAATTGCAATGCTAAGTGCCCAGAGTTCCCAGTCTAGTGGCACAGTGCTTGCAAAAGTGCCAAGGAACTCCACAATGATAACTTGAAAAACAACAGTAGACACCATGACACCAACGAAAATCCAACTGCTCAACATGCCATGAAACACGTTTATCTTATGAATGTCCCGGCTGTTTACTTCATTAAAGACCTACACATACACAATTATCCAAAAAAAACTGTTAGAATGCACAACACAAGTAAATGAAAAAGTACGTTGCCATTTTCCAAAAAAAAAAAAAAGATAAATTGTACCTGACAGAAGACAAAGGTGTTGAAGATGAAGGTATTGAGGATTTCAGTTGAGTCCAAATTGAGAATGGATTTTCCGGCGAAATTCAAGACGAAAAGGACAACCATTTGGTAAATACTTTGGCCAATAATATTTCGCCACATGGTCTTTGTAATAAAACTTTCGGTTCGTTTAACAGGTGGCCTGTTCATGAGTCCATCATTTGGTGGTTCAGTGGCTAGAGCCAATGCACCTAAAGTGTCCATGATCAGGTTCACCCATAGCAACTGCACAGCAGTAAGGGGTGCAGACCCTGAAAAAAATTCATATCCATGCAACTATGTAAGCACAGAACATGTGAGAAAGCAAAGAATGACTAATAAAGAAGACGATTGAACAAACCTGTAATGCAGGCTGAAACAAAATTAATCATTAGAGCAACGATGTTGACAGTTAACTGAAACTGAACAAACTTCTGAATGTTTATGTAAACAGCACGTCCCCATTTTGCTACTTTTACAATTGTTGCAAAATCATCGTCCAACACGATTACATCAGCTTGTTCTTTTGCAACCTACAGATGAGATGACAGATGACTTATGACAGACACAAACCAATATATTATATATGGGATTGTGTTTTCATTAACTTAAGTTTTTTATACTAAATTGACATGAATATGAGGTACAAACCAACCTCTGTTCCTGCTATACCCATGGCGAATCCAATATCTGATTCATGTAAAGCTGGAGCATCATTTGTCCCATCACCTGTGACTGCAACAACTTCAGACAGACCCCTCAAATGCTCTACAAGCTTTAACTTGTCTGTTGGTGATGATCTAGCCATTACCTGTAATGTATTTAAGGATTGTGAATCATTACTTGTCTTGGAGAACTAACGACCTATTCTCCTGAGTTTCAAAATAAAGGGAAAAAAAAAAATAGTTACATTTGATCTAGCCATTACCACGTTTTTTTGTTTGTACCTGAATTCTCGGTGCTAGTTCACGCTTTTCTGCATCTGATTTAGCTCGAAACACTGGCCCTTCAATGGCTAACCCACCATCAGTCAGTATACCACATTCCTTGGCAATGGCTCGAGCTGTGTTAATATTATCACCCGTAACCATACGCACAGTAATCCCAGCTGCTAAACAAATCTCCACCGCTTCCTTAACCCCTGGCCTAAGCGGATCCTTAATACCAACAACCGCAATCAACGTATACCCACAATCGGGCAACTCTTTTTTCATATCAAACTCACCTTCCCCTTCCCCATCAACATAAGCCAAACAAAGAGTCCTCAAAGCATTGCTCGCAAACCCATTTATAACACTCGTAATAAATCTCACTTTCTCTTCAGACATTACAACACTTTCTCCACTTCCATCCAATAACTTGTCACACATTCCTAATACTATTTCAGACGCGCCTTTGATAAACGCGCGTATCTGCCCGCCGGGCAGTTTCGTAATGACCGACATTCTCTTTTTGGAAGAATTAAACGGCTCCATTTTTAGTAGCTTAATCTCGCTACGAACCGTCACAAAATCACCACCTAAATGTAATCCATATTCCAAAATCGCAGATTCTGTCGGAGTGCCTAAAATTGAAGTTTTCCCATCCGTACCCTTGACCACTTCGGAACTTGTACATTCGAATATACACTGTAAGAGAACGGTCAACACGTTTTCGGGGAGTTCCGGAGGGGCTTTTACGTCTTTTGTCTTACCGGATACGTATATTTTGTCGACGACCATATGATTTGTGGTTAAAGTCCCGGTTTTATCGGTGCATATGTTGGTGGAAGAACCCATTGTTTCACATGCAGATAGATGTCTCACGAGTGCCTTGTCGTTCATCAATTTTTTCATAGCAAACGCGAGACTTAAAGTCACGGCTAATGGTAGTCCTTCCGGGACAGCAACAACGATAATGGTTACTGCAGTGGCAAAATAGTCTAACATAGTTAATGCGTCACTCGAATTCCAGCTTGAAAACTCTTGTCGCAATGCTTTTTCTATTAAGAACCGGATAGTCAACACAAGAAAAGTCAACACTGCGAAGATCAACCCGATTTTACCGATGATTGTAGCGACGCCGTTTAATTTGACTTGAAGTGGGGTTTCGGTTTCTCCCTCTTCGCTTAAGGTTTCCATTAATTTTCCCCATTCGGTTCTCATCCCGACGGCGGCTATAAGCATCTTGGCTGAGCCGTCTTGGACTTTGGTCCCACCGAGAAGAAACGGTTTAGTCTCGTCTACGTTGACTGCACGGCTCTCTCCGGTCAAACTAGATTCGTCGATTAACAAACTGTATCCAGATATGAATATCCCGTCGGCCGGAACTTGATCGCCGATTGATAAATGGACGACGTCTCCGACAACCAAATCGTAAATGGAGACCTTTTTCCGGTATCCATCTCTGGTTACGTGACATGAAATCTTCTTCTTTTCCTTGTCTAAATCCTTGAATTGTAAGGATTGTCTGTAGTCGCTAACGGCAGTAACGGTAACTACTAGTAAAATACTAAGAAGGATTCCCAATCCATCGTATATTCCATCTGGAAAACCTTCGGTGGCGAAGCCTACACCTATGGAAACAACTGCACACACTATAAGGATGATGAGAGTTAGATCATGAAGAGCCTCCCAGACGAACATAAAAAAGCTTTTCGAAGGCTTTTCTGTGTATTTGTTGACGCCGTAAGTGTCTTGTCTAATGGATAAATCCGTGGATTTGACGCCTTCATCTATAGATACGTCTATGGCTTTAGCGACTCCGTCAACTCCACCCAGCGATCGTAAGGTTTTGATGCTATAATTTTGAACCATGGATGCGAGGTTATCTGGATTATTACGGATGTCGGAAGCTTTTGCATCTGGTGTTTGATGATTTTCTAAATGAGGAGCGCCTGTTGAGACAGGATTGTAATAAAGTGGTATTAATTTGTTATTTAATGAATGTATAATGGATAAAGACATAACAGAACTCGGATCGTTAATTAGAAGTTTAATTAGAAAGAAACGGTTGATTGATTTCATGCAGCATTTCAATTATCGCAAGAAGCAGTAGCATACCATCCATAAATCGCAATGCTGCTCTCACAGTGTAAAAGCTAACCCGCAGGTTTTCCTGGGAACGTTGAAGAAAAAAGAGAGAACATTATTAGCTTTTTATCATATGAATGTAACTATAGTCACATGAGGTGGTTTGGGTAGTTAAGATTAATATTTTAATACATAGTAAATAAAGTTCCAATTAATATTTGTAAGTATGAACATTGCATACAAAGGGAGAACTTGGTGAAACTAAAGTGAGAGATAGGAAGAAGATGAAGACTGAAAGTACACACTTCAAACTTCATAATAGAACTGAACATGTGTGCAAAAATAAGCCAGGAACAAAAAAAAAAAAAAAAAAAAACTACGAAAGATAAGTTTGTATTCAGTTCACAACTTACCCAATTTAAAATGATTTATTAAAGGCGTGAGGATATTTTGTAATTCCAAAATTTATCATGAATTTATTCCATGAAGTCAACAGAACCGATCAGTATTCACTATTTATGTGTCTTTGTTTCTTAATTTTGTAAATTACGTAAATCATCGTATGCTCAAAACTATGGATTGAGTAACTTACAACCTTTTTAACCATTTTCTTGTCTTTTGTCCATAGGCTGGATGCCGTTAAAAATTAGATAACAGGATTTATAAAATAATTTTAGTTAATTTTGTAAAAAGCTTTTAAAAATGACAATGATTGAGATGATTTAAGTTAATAATATTTGGTATGATAAAGTTATAGTGGAGATATAATGTGGCAAAGCAATCGATGATTGGAGATTTTAATTAGTGGAGCTCAAAAGTCTATGAAAAATGGAGAGAAATTTCGAGGAAGCTGTCACAAGTCTGAAGGTTCTTTTCTGAAATATTGGTTAAATTTCCTAAGTAACTTCTATTTTGGATAAAGGGATCTTGAAAAATTTATCACCTGATAGAAACATTATGTTAAGAAAATAAAAAATAGATATAGTTAGAATCATTATATTATTTGAAAGTTTACCTTAAGTTTAATATAAACATTTTCTCTTTCGAAGAATTTAAATACATTTTACCATGGACTTTAAGTGCTTGACCAAATTTATGAAAAGCATTTATATGTTGATGTTGGTTAGGCTCAACAAGTTGTCTCCACCAAACAACCAAGGTAGTTACAACAGCCTCTAAAATCTAAATCAAGGCTTAATATTTTAAAGAAAAAAGATAACGATTATCAATCTATAAATTTAACGGAATTATGAAAGACGCATCTGATAAACTTCACGAATATGATTCCTTACCCAATTAAAAATAATAATAGAAAGGTTACTTTCCGAACAAAAAGTCATGTTTGGGCTATATTTTTTTTCTTCTTA